CATTGCAAATCATGTTTTATGTGTGTGTGTTTTCTGAAGATCTGGAATTTTTTAGTTAAAAATTGGTCAAGAAACTTAAGTTAGATGCATATAATGTCACAGCTAAATTTGAGCTGTTTCAGTGAAATCTGTGGTTGTTTTCAGGTCAGCTAATATCCTTTAATTCTCATACTTCGAGCAAACATACCTGCCAGTGTCTTAATGTCCCCCTTGTAATTAGTCATAATATTTCTGTTTAGCAAGCTGCTTTTGCAGTAGATGAAAGCATAAGAATATCTTTTTAAGAACTTGGGAAGTGAGGAGGTGAGACAGAATTTTAAGCAGGATATTTCATTTTAACATGCAAAAAGCTTTCAGGAAAGAGGGAGAGTGAGTGCCTTTAGTGGACTGATAATTCGAGGCAGGCGTTCCACAAGTGTTCCATGATCTAGCTTTCCTAAAGGAAAGCTATGTAGTTTTTTAAGCTTTAATTGCAATTAGGAAAATAACACTTTAGCTAAAATCTCAATGTAGTTTGGTATTGTTGTGAATTTATTAAAAACTGCATGATTTTTTCCACCCCAATTTTAACAGGAATAGTGGTATATTTAATTATGCATTTTTTTTCTGTGATAGGATAACACTAAAAGGACCTATTGATTCCTCCTGAAAAGTACAATGTCCGATTGTATTGTGAAGTTGCAGTTTTATTGCTTGCTGCTATCTGTAAAGCATATTAAAAAAAAAAACCATTAAGTATTATATCCCTTACCTTTGCACTTCACTTGTTCCGTATGTTATAAAAGTAGTACATTTGTTTAGGTCAATAGCGCTTTCATCCGTTGCATGTATCTCATTTCCTCTCAGTATCAATTACGCTTTCTGCATTGGCGTTTTTATGAATCTCTTAACTTTATTGTGTTTAAAGGTTCCTCTTAGATGTCTTTTTTCCAGCTAAGAAGCTCCGCTTAACAGATGGCTCTTAAATAGAGATTTTAAAAAAAAGTTGAAAAAATCCCCCAAAAACCCAACAACCCTCGTTAACCGTTTTCCATAATCATTTTTTTTTCTTGTGTGTTAGTGAGCTTTAGTAGTGCAAAAGCAAGCAAAATTCATCCTAAACAAGATACTGGTTATGCTGTGGCTTGGTCTAACAGCATTCTGTTTGAATCTAGCTGTTCGTGTTGGCTTTTGAGATTGATGTAGTACTGCTTCTCTTTAATCACTAATGAGGATAGATGAAATATATATTTCACCTATATTCTTTCACCTAAATGTGTCCTAGAAAATAATGGGCAGTCAGGTGAAGTTTCCTATAAATATAAATCTTCTTTGCATAAAGTTTTGTGTGAGTCAACAAATAAAAAATAGGACAGGAAATGTGTGCAGAAGTCATCACTGATAAGGACTGGTAACGTCATCTAGATTAAGAACTTTGTCTCACTGAAGCTTCTTCTATATAAAAATACCTGTGACTTTTGCCTTTCGTTTTTTGAAACATAGCTGTTGCTTATAATCAAGTAGCTTTCTGTTCTATCATTTACCACTATTGAAGGCACATTTCTTAAGTAATTTATTTGTATCATCTGATTTAGGGGAGAGGGGTTGAGATGGGCAGAAGGATTTAGGTATTTCATTCCTTAGTTTTACTGTCTGTTACACTGCCTTTTCAAGGTCAATTGATCTTGAGTGGTATTTTCTTTATACAGATAATACAGCTTTCAGTTGTTTGAAGTTTATACTGCAAGTTTTCTCATTCTCTTGTAGGAACTTCCAAGTCTGTATTGGGCAGTGACACCTTTTGGGGGACTGTTTTGATGGTGAGCTGTGAAAACGGTCTGTTTCTATTACTGGCAGTCCTGGGACAGAGCAAGTTGATTGTATTTGCAAATCCTAGGAACTTCAGTCATAGTCTGAGACTGTTGCTCCAGATGCGATGCAAATGTAGAACAGAAAGTGCTTTGTGTCTTACTGGGCTTTCAGCGATGACTTGAGGGGGGGCAGCGTGCCCTGTGACTTGGGTAAGAACTTGTACAGTTGCATGGGTGCTGATAACTCCCTCGTGTGGGTATTCCCTGAGGTTGGGTGGATAAACCCCAGCACAGAGTGTGCAATTGCTCACACTAAGGATAGCACAGAGACAAAAAGGAGTAGGGAATCCCTAATCTCATATTTTGTCTCAGGTGTCCCCAAGTGCTCTATGGAGCAACCACAACTTTTCAGGATGTGCCGGTGCCTATATACAGTTTGACATATGGAGCTTTTAAAATTATTATTCATATTTTAGCATTCCCACATAAAAAGTTCTGAAATGTTCTAAGCATGGAAGTCTCTTTCACTTTAGAATAACAGTGAGTCAAAAGTAAATTACAGTGGAAAGAGCAACACCACAAAAAGGCTTTGAAGTGCATCCGTATTGACTGATGATTTAGCTTTAGCAGAAGCCATGTACAAATCGCTTAAATTTGCTTTTCCATCTACTAAACTTAAGTCTCTTGAGTCCCCAGTAATTACACCACAATGAGTAGCTATGGAAATGTCAGTGCAAAATGTAGGATTACTATTGAGACATGATTTGTCTACAAATTGAGATATTTGCATTTATGGCTCCCAAAACAACTGCAGCACTGGCCCTTTCTGAAAGGACTTCGTATTGTTTGGCAGTGATATCTGTGTGCAAACAACAACATTTAAATGCATGGACTGTGCTATATGTTGAACTGGTTTCCTTACTGTTATGGTTCTCTCTGTAAAAATCATGATTTTTTTTGTGTGTGCTCAGGGACACAGTGTTCTTTCTTAAGCTGTCCCAGCCAGTGCATAGAGCAGAGATGTGCATAGACTTTGACAAGGAGACAGGTTCAAACTCTGAGAAATTGTAAAAAATTCATGTCCTGGAGAGATTTTCAATTTTTTTCCAGCTTGGTCAACAAAGAATCGTCCAAAGTGGAAGAGGGAGAACTGACAAAAATCAGCCTGAAGTAGATCGTTGCAAATGAAAGGAAAAACTGTAATTATTTCAGCCCTATAAACAAATTATACAATGACATTGAGCATAATGAATTTAACTCGGAAAGGACGTGCTGAGATGTTTAATTAAATGCTCTGTGTTTGCTTTTTTAATAAGGTGCCAGCTTTCTCTTTGTGCACTCGAGATGAGTGCATCAATCCTTTGGGGTTGAAGCTGGAATTTATTGGGGTTGAAGCTGGAATTTATTTTGTTCAGAGACTGGAAAGACTTGTTGATGGTACTTGTTTATTATAGTCCTGCTTTCCTATTAATCTGCTTTTGTCTTTATCATTCAGTTCATCTGTCTTTCAGATATCTACATCTTTCCCTTTCCTTTATTTTGAAAGACTTCATTAAAAACACACCGGTTTTAGAAACTCTGTGAACACTTCTGTAATAGGAAATTTTCATTTGTGGAAGTTTTTTAAAGCTTGCTGTATGTGAATGGCTCTTCTTTGGCTATTTAAACTGCACAGATGAGATTGGTTTGGTTATAACACCCTGCAGACTGATTCCTAGAGCATCTTAGTGCCATTGGGCAGTACCAGGATTTACATCTGCAGGACAGCATTTCATAACCGAGAGTTTCTGTCAAGTTACAGGAGAACTTAGATCCTAGCAGATAAAACACTACTTTGCAAAGAAGCGCTATCACTTGGACCGTGTAATGTTCACTGCAAAGCTGCCTCTTTGGTCGGAATCTGTCTTTCAGTCTGGTGATGCATCTTTTGATACCTAGTGTGATGCTGATTCTTTCCTGCCAAATTCTCCCCCTGATCTAGGTCCCTATAGACGGTGATCCAGTTACATCCATACTGGGAGTGATACCCTGTCCATTAGCCAAATAGTGCGAAGTGCCTCTTGCTTGTGCCGTCCCGGACAAGCCTCCCTGGTGATCCCGCTGTGTCCATTTTTGCCATATCAGGAGCAACCCTGGACTTTGTACCAAGCTCCTGATCCCTATGTGATACCATGTGCGTGTTTGTTTAAAAGCAGTGGGTCCTCAGTAACGATGAGGGGTGCCAAGAGGTCCTGGCTGCAAAGTGGGACAGGGAGGGCATGTGTCCTATCCTGGAGGTGCGAAGGTGGAGCATTTCACCTGGGTATTCCAGCTTGCCTGTTGGATATGGCCCTTGCAACAAGTTTTCCTGATGCACACTAGGCTTGTCCTGTGTGGACTTGATCAGTTTGCTGCACTTCTTAGCTGGGAGCAAAATGGAGATGGAGTGCAGATGAATAGGAGGACGAAAGTTCAGTTTGGCTGCTTGGTGCTGTTTTTATTGTTGCTTATCCCTTCAGTAATATCACAATATTATGGTATTACTTACGTTGGAGGTAAATGGTAAAGCTTTCTGTTGGCAAAGCCCATTAGCCTCACTCTGTTTTGTGGGATATGACTGCTTGGAGATGGCTCCAGAAAGCCTCACTTGACTGTTGCTGGCTCTTTAGCGGACTGTAAGTTCCGTGTTCGTCTTCATCTCTCCTTGTTCTGCCTTGTATCAGGATGGTTTGGGGTCTTCAACCTTTTATGTGTCTCAGATTTGTTCCTGAGAAGTGACATGCAGCAGTGTGAAGAGAGTCGAGCTTGGTGTCTTCTTGCAAGTTTAGGTGTTCCTAGAATTTCATTCAATTGGATTTGACTGCTGGAAGGGACCTTTTGCCCTATCAGTTCTATAGCTTTGTGATTAAGAACATGAGTTGGTAGTTACCTCAAATAGACAGTACTCTAAAGCGTCCATATAGGTTAGTTCAAATGGGGAATATGTGCTAAGGATTCTGTGGGTAAATTCTTTTACCTACTGGGAAACATTCGCATATTTTTAGAAAAATCTCCTAGCAGTGCACTTGAAATGAGTGTGTGATTAATCATGAGGTAGTTGGCAGTGATTCAGTGGTTTTGACAAGATAACCAAAAATCTCTGGGAAGCAGAGTAAGTTAAGTCTCCAGATGCCCTCTGAATGATTTCTGTTCAGCAAACACTGTAATGTTTTTTTTTCCTTCTTTCTGCAGCAATGCTGAGTGACGATACCTGTGTGAAGTTAAAAAGCAACCATTCACCTCCTGTGCAATGGTATAAGACAGTCGCACCCAAAGATGAAAAGACCAAGCAGGTTTTTAAAAGGTACTCCCAAGTAAGTGTCACTGTTGGGGTAATTCAAAGGGCAGCTGCCCTACCCTAGTAGGGAACATACTAGGGAACATAGGATGGAACAAACAAGAGGTGGGGTTTTCTAGAGCGACTGAATGGAGGGTCAGGCACCTAGTTCTCATTTTTGGCAGATAAAACATTTTGAGGTGCTTAATCTCGCTTGCAGTATCACTGGTTTTCCCCAGGTAATGTGAGATTCCAGCACTTTGCTCATCAGTACTCCAGATCAGTAAAAGGGACAAGGTCTGATAACTGATGCAAATTAAGGACAATGAAAGTTTTAGGATAGAAGGAGGATGTGATCCCTCACAGTTTGTTTGTTCGTTTATGGAGACTTTTCTTCCATGATGTTACACCACAAAATATTGGTTGCTGTGTGTATGTATTTAGGGTCGCCTTGGATTTAGAAAGTGTGTCTAAATATATATCCCAAATTACGTGTAAAACCAGTATCTCACTACTGTGATACTTTGTGACTTGAATTTTTAGACTTAAAATGTTTTTAAAGAACAAATCAAAAACTTAAAACTAGGCTGATAGTTTCACAGATGTTTTGCACACCTGAATGATGCAGTCTCAGCTTAGTCTAGAAATAACTCCTTAAACCTCGGTAGAGGAAAAGGAGCCTCGTGCATCTGTCTGTGTGTTCCTTATTTCTGCTGGGTTGGCTGATTTTTCAGGAGATGCAGTCTAACATCCTGAGGAAGGTTTTAGATGCCTATCAATATAAAACTGAAATAAGTTAAATCAAACCCTAGAATAGTACTTCTTTTCCCATGGCCACCTTGTTAGTTTTGGACAGAATTTTTCACTATTATCATAGCATTTAGGGCGGATACTGCAAATTATGAAAGATTGACAGTGGTATGTATTAGCCTGCACGCTACGTGTCCTGGTACTACTGAAACTTGGTGATTATCTGTATGGTAAATGTGGTTTAGTGTGGGTGGTGCATTACAGAAGTTGGTGAAGAATATGGTCAAGATGATCCCTGAAACCTATAGAAAGTTTACCCGGGTGAGTTTACAGAAGCAAGAAACGCCTGGTAGGTGGTATATTTTTAAGACATTGAAATACATGTGCAACCTTTAGAGGATCATAGGAAATAATTAAAAATCTAGTATGAAAAGCAGTAACAAAGGTTGCACTACATATGCCAAGTGCAATCACAACTCCAAACACATGTTACAGTTTTTGCAAAGTTGTTGAGACCTGAAATGAACCAACTGAACATTTTGAGATAAATAGTGAGATTACTTTGTAATGAGAAGTAAGCGTAACAGAAGTGTGCTAACTTACGTTACTCAGTTATAAAGGATTATTTTTTTCTTCTAAGTATTTTGAGAATATAAATAAATAAATAAATAAGGCTTTTCATGACAAGCATCTAAATCTGCATTCTGACCTTCCAGTGAGCTGAAGGTTTTGCTTTGTTGTTGTTGCCACTTGCATGAAAATCTGTAGTTCAAAATAAAGTTGTTTTTGGATCCTTTTGTAAGGAGAGCTGTTGATACGTGTTGTATTTAAAGTGTGTGATACAGGTATAGAATTGTGGGAAGCCAAAGTGTCAGTTTAGAGCAGTTTCTATATTAAAGCATCTTTAGGTTAGCAGATTTGTGCAGATCTGTCTTTAAACTTTTAGAATGTTTATAGCACTCAGTGCATTAGTTTTTGTTGATTTGAAGTGAATGCACGTATGTCTTTGAAGTTCTTAAATTGTCTTAAAGTTGTTTAAAATAACTCATATAACAGTAGGTTAAATGCTGCAAAAATCTTTTTTTTTTTTCCTCTTCCATCTATTTCTTACACATACCTATTTGTTTTCAGACTTTTTCTATTGTTTGTGGTCGGAGTATGCTTCCTTTATATCATCAAACTACATTTTGACCCTGAAGAATGTGACAGAACAAAAATGCCATATGTGGACCTCGATCGTGTAAAGGTTGGTGTAGGATTTTTTTTTTTGTGGGGTATGTGTGGTTGTTTTTTTTTTGTGTGTGTGTGTGTACAATACAAGAGTTGTTAGGATCTGTATTGGTGGAGCTGATGAAGTCATTCTGAGAAGGCAAATGTATTTTGCTTTATTTCGTCCCATAGGACCTCTGGGTGGTGTTCTTGTGGAATGGTGATGGTGAGCAGTGCACAGAGAACTGGAATTTAGGGATGAAATGAGAGAACAACATGCCTGACTGTTAAGAATAACACTTGAAATGGACATGTCATCGTGGCATTTGTAATGTGAGAGACAGTGCTACAGACTTAAAGTTCAACCAGGGCTGCTGTTCCCTGTGCTCATGTGCAAGTCGAGGTGTTACCTGACTGCTGCCATGTGAGTGCTTCCAGGAGGAGGCTGAAGCTGTGGTCACCAAGACCAGTTTCACTCGTGTTTTTAGCTGGCCCTGCATTTTAAGGAGTGATCTCGCATGCTCCTGCTTCATTTTCTGTCCATAGTGTCAATGCAAATGTTTTTGTGGTCAGGAAATGAACGCCAGTGAAAAGCAACACAGCGCCCAAACCCAAACTTTATTTTACCCCCAAACCAGTTCCCCATTCTGATTTGCCTTGCAGCTGCTCAGATATTAGCAAGCATGAGCAGATGTTATGTAGGAAGGTGCAGCTCTATAGAGATTTTTTGCTTCTGTTTGGGGTTTTCTTTGTGGGGGAACTCTGTTAATAGGAGATATTTGCTTCAAGTATGGTTTTGCATGTGGCTTTAAAGCTTGTCTAAAAGGAGGCTATAAGACTTTCCATAAATCTTGCTGTAGCTTTTCTGCCTTTTCCTACTTACCTGTTTGCTCTTTATTATGCTGCACTTGACTTTGAGTTGCTGCATTGCAGAGGGCTGTGTGGGCTGTGTTTTATTGCTGCACTATAGTTCATTTTGGTTTTGCTGGCACTGTCTAGCTGGACAGCAGTTGCAGGTTGTAAAGTCCTTGGGCACTTGTCTGGTGACTGGCACAGCACGTCACCAGTCTTTGATAAGCAGTTTTATGATGGCAATAACCAGCAAAAGAGCTAACAGTGTGATAAGAATAGATATAGGGATGTACAGCTGTACACGTTCCCCTTTTTCTAGTGACACAGCTGGGCATTGGTTTTCACTGATGGGCTGAAAAATGAGGTTCTTCTCAGGGTGCATGAAGTCCTGTTCTCAGAAGATGTCATGAAGTGGTTCTGTCATGCACAGCCCAAAGGAGTGTGGTGTTCATGTACCTACAGTGCCTGGGGCTCTCTCATAGTGGTAGAGGCAGCTCTTGAGAAGCCATAAGAAAAAAACAAAACAAACCACTAACCTGCCATATCCCTCCACAGCTACGTTTCATTCATCCAGATAAACACTCCTGTTTTCTTATGAGTGCAAAAGGGGAACTGTGTAAGCACCGGATTTGAATTCTGGCTTTCTCAGCCTCTTGTTCTCTAATGTTTCACGATTAAAGAGGAGGAAAGATGAGCAGAGTCCTGCTGGGGGATAGAGAACATGCAAATGGCTGTTTTTGTAAATGGTAAAAGTAGCAACTGGCTATTTCTCTGCTTCCTTATTTCAAGTAGCAGCTTGCCACTACAGATTTCTAAAAACAACGCTCATGAAGAGCTTTTTCTAATGAGACATATTAATATGCAATTTCCATAAATAGATTCAGCTGTAAGATGATACAGAACTGTAGTCGCTTATATTGGTTATTTATCTTTTGAAGTGAACCTGAGATCACTTTTTGCATTCCTCTTAATGTTGTGCTTAGTTATAAAAGTACCATTTTAGCGATATCTTTAGAAAGTAGCCTCATGTTGATTTGTGAGCAAGCCCGCCACGCCGTTTGAGTCTTTCCAGCTGAGGTGTCTGGTAACCCTGCTGTGGTCGGGTCACACTTTTGAGCAGCAGTATAGACTTCCTCTTGCTGTTTTTCTGCTAAATAAGATGGGTAGCAGCAACTCAGGTTTTTTTTTTCGCTTTTATAAGTAGCAGTTTGAAGTTTTTTGAGCTGCCCCATGGGGCACATCTTTCCTGTACCTTTCTATAAAGGGTATTATATTCACTTACCTCTCTCATTATCTAAATTTATTGTTTAGAAAAGCTCCTGCCTAGATGACTGGATGGGCTAGATGACTAGGAGAGACACTGAGTTGCAGGTTTTCATCCTGCACTGACTAATCCTGTGTTTCTTGGTTTAAGCTTTCTTTTTAAAAGCCTGTGTTTGGTATCGTGCTGGCAATCCCAGGTGGGTTGATTTGGGAGGGCTGTTTCTGTCACTGAAAGTAGCTTTCCTGACTGCAATTTTGCATATTTTGTTTTAGAAAGCACAACAGTATGCCAGCGCTGTGCTGCAGGGACAGTGCCGACCTTCTCATGCAAAAAAGGAAATGGCAAAGTTATTTGCAGAAAAATATAGCATGGACATATCTCCTTTTGTAAGAAAAAATGTGAATGAAGATGAAGCTTTATTTAAATATGAACCTCCCTTTGGATTTCACAAGTTCTTTGATAAGCTTCAGAGCATCCTTGAACTCTTGCCTGAGCATGATTTGCCGGAAGATTTGAAGTCCAAACACTGTAAACGCTGCGTTGTCATTGGCAGTGGTGGAATCCTTCATGGCTCAGAGCTAGGACACTTACTGAATCAGTTTGATATTGTTATAAGGTAAGTATTTTCCCTTCTATTTAAGGATTCAAACTACTTCAGTTTTGCTTTATGAGCAGACTTGTTTTGGGAGAGGAAAGTATCTCCAGCTGCTCACAGAACTTGCAAGACTTTTTTGTAAGTTCTTCTGAGAAATGTGCTTGTGACCTGGTAGGATTCAGAGACTGAGGAGCGAAGTAACAGTCATCATATGGGAAAGGCAAGAATTCACTGTAATTTGTGCGTTTTGATATCAGTTATCAGAAAACATGGGCAGAAATGATTGATGATCCAATGAAATCAGAGAAAATATATTCATTTGTTTTATCCATTCACATGTTTAAGGTTTTTTTTTAAGGTAGGCTTTAGGACTTGTTTCTACCCTCACCCTCTTGATTATTTGACATGTTTATGTACTTTTCTTAGAAAAGCTATTTCAAGCACAATAAAAACGAGTGATAGTTTCACCTTGCAATTTGCTTACATACTTTATAGCATGCTGATATTTGCTTATATTTTCAGGAATAGGGCATGGTTCTGTGATTATCCACACAATTGTTTGATGTTTGTGTTAGATGCACGTCTGTCTGCACTCCTGCCTTCTGAATGGAACAGTTCTCTTTCTTTGTATTTTGTCATGTAAATGATAAATTTAATACAGATATTTTGATAAATAGTTTTGTAAAGCAAAAGAGGCTCCCCTTGAAAAGCAAGAGGTTGATCCAGTGAGTGAATATCTCTTACACAAAACTATACAAACATTTCGACGTTGGGAGGAGCAGAGGATTTGCACTAATTGCTGAAATGGTGGGTGTAAGAGTGCGGAGGTGACTGGTTTTGAAATAAAAATATTTGTAGGGCTTTTGCTGATAGTTCTGCAGAATTCATGAGCTGGTTGAGGCTCTTCTTACCAGCTGATGTCCAGGTGAGCAGGATTGGCACAGGACCACAGAAAGCTTTATATTGCTGTGTGAGTTAGTGAAGGGATAATGTGAAGGCATTTCTTGTGTGTAAACTCACATACACGTGTGAAAAAATACATAAAATTTCCTATGTACTTTCTTTTCCTTCCCCTTTTAAGCCTCTTTGAGCTGGCACGAGACAAAGTGAAATTCTGCAGTGCTGTTTTAAGCACTTCTCCTTCAAGCTCTTCCTTTCAGAATTTGGCACTTGTGACACTTAAATCCCAAAATAGAATTGGCTGCCTCTCGGAGATAAGGAATAGATGAGTGTGTGAAGTGAGGAACACAGAGATACTGGAAACGCTGCACTCAGCTCTGATAAAAAGCTGTGGGCCAAATACAAGTTCTTTGCTTACTGTCTTAACATTTTAATTAAATTGCATCCCTGTGCAGTTTAGTGTGTGTTTAAACTTTTTTTCTAGGTTAAATGATGCACCAGTTCACGGATACACAGATCATGTTGGAAATAAAACAACTATAAGGATGACTTATCCAGAAGGAGCTCCACTTTCCGAGCACGAGTATCATCCTGCCAGCTTGTTCGTGGCTGTCTTGTTTAAAAGTGTCGATTTCAACTGGCTTCGAGCAATGATTAAAAACGAAACCTTGGTATGTAAAGGGACAATATTACATACTTGTGGGTTTTTACTTTTTCTTTTTGATTTCTCATGCTTAGGAAATTGATTGACCAGTATTTCCTGGTTTGTATTTAGTATCTTGTATGTATTTTTTTAATATCTACTAATTTCAGTTAGTACCAGCATTCAAGTTGAAGTTGCATGCTGCTGATTTTTATATATATATATATATATACACACACACATATATATATACACTGTATATATATATATGTATACTGTATATACTGTATATATATATATACACACATATATGTGTGTGTGTGTGTATATATATATACTGCTGATTACTATATAGATCTTGGTGGGTTACAGGCACAAAACTGCATGGCATATTGAATATTTAATGAAATGGAGTTCCTTTCACAGCAAGCTGAAGTGACTTGCTAAAGTCTGCAGAGCCAGAAATAGAAATGAGATTTTAGGAGGCCAGACCATTTCTTTTAACAGCTACAGACTGTGCTACTACAGTGGCATACATGCCTCATGTATATCTGAGGCCAATGTGTGTTTGTTATTCACATTATCTGTAGTACTAAATTAATAAGTTATTCCTTTCTCATTAAAATAATTCAAGTGCATTCCCCCAAACGGAGTTTTCTAGGGAAATGAGGGAAGGTTTTCCTGTTTCCCCAAATCTCTTTAAATTTGTGGGTTTGACCTCTTTCAGTTTGCTGGCATTTAATGCCCCCGAGTTGAAAGCCACTGGCAAGGCTTTTCTAACCACAAATTGGAGAAAAAAAAAAAAAAAGAAAGAGAGGGGTGGGGGGGAGGGAGGGAAAAAGGCAAATCAAGAAACCTGCCCTGAGCTTTCATTTGAGATAGATTTATAAGAAAGCCAATTGGGCTCCTTCACAATTTAATACATAATATTTTAGGTATTTCAACCCCCCCTTTTAATTGTGACTATTATGATGTCAAGTCATATGGAAGAGCTGCCTCATATTGACCAGAACTTCCTCTTGTCGTAGTGCAGTGTGTGTGTGTGTGCGCTAGGAGATTGGCTTGTTCTGAGTAATCTGAGAGTGTTTTGGGGAGAGGAGACTTTCTTGACTGTGTAAAAGTACGGACTGAATAACAACTGATCACTCCTTGTTTTTTACTGAGAACAAGGCAATGTGGTCCATACCCTCTATCTGCAGGAATATGACAATTTTATGTACTTGCATCTTTCAGATTGGGGTTGAATCCCTGATGGACTTGTTCTATAAGCTTTCTAGTTGATTCAGCTTTTAAACTTGCTTTTAAAGAATGACTGCCACAACTTGTTTTCAGCCCTCAAAAACTTCCCTCAAAAAAGTTGCTTTTCTTCTCTTTAAGAGCAGTGCTGCCCCTAATGTGTGTAAATATGCCCTAAATATGAAATGAGAAGAGAAAATGGAATTGCCATTTTGTGTCTCCTCTGTCTATCCCAAAATCCAGTCTTTAAGCTTCTGGTGCTGGTCATCTTATCCTGTTAGTGCCATGAGTGGTTCAGCCCTTTCACTTCTTATGGCAAGCTCTTTCTCTCTTCTTGTTCAGTCACCTCCAGTACTTGTATAAAATGCTTGTATTTGTGCTGAAAAGAGGCACAAGGATATGTGCATCAGCACCTCTCCATTCACACCTTGCATGCTCTGGTGTGATTCCGCTTTGGTGGAAAGTCAGATTGGGGAACTCCTTGAGCTGAAAACAAACTTGGCAATATTAGGTTTTCAGGTGGGTCACCTTCCTGTGCATGCACTGCTACTTCAGTAAACTGTTGCAAGGGAGTGAGGGGAAGGAAGGGACCACAGCAGCCTAGATTTAATCAGATCCTGGATTTAATTACTAGCTACTGCAGAGTTGCACCTCAGTGTAGAAATAGGCTGGTTTAAAAAACAGCTGTATGTTGCAGCTGTCTCAGTTTTACCATTTGCTTAATATTAAACATTACAGGAAAAGATGTCTAAAACGAGCCTGATGTGGTATTATTTTCTTCCATGAGCACACGTCCAATTGACTGCAAGTAACTGGTGGGAATCCAGCTTGCTGAGCCTTGTGTAAATCCTTTGTCTGGAGTGTTGTGTTTATCACTAATGGAGACTGTCAAACAGGAACCGTCTGCTTCAAAGCCTGAGCAAAATGGTTTTAAATCCAGCGCTTGCTGCACAGTGCCCTGGTTAATGTCTCTAAAGCTGAGGTTCCACTTCCCGTTTCGTTAAATACTGCTCCATTGTGCTGGGGAAAATCCAGGGAATCTGCAGGTCGGATGGATAGGGTGGCTTATGAGAAACAAAGTGCACTCATATAAAACACTAAACAAGCTTTCCCTTCCTACTCCTGTCTGCAGTTACAACCCCTTGTTGCAATTGTCTGCAATTACAGGTAGTTTGAGACTTTCCTCTCTTGAGTCAATCGCTTCATTGTGTGCTGATATTCCTGAGCTGTCCTAGCTGTAAACAGTTTCATGATTCTTCTTATGATCTGAGATGAATCCTGATAACTTGGGTGTCAAAGTTGCCCTTTGGAGAGAGGATCTGAACTCATTGTTCTTTCTCTTAGCCTCTGTGGATGCGACTCTTCTTTTGGAAGGAGGTTGCTGAGAAAGTTCCTTTTACATCAAAACAGTTTCGGATTCTGAATCCAGTCATTGTTAAAGAGACTGCTCTGGACATTTTGCAGTTCCCTGAACCTCGATCAAAATTCTGGGGCTGGGATAAGGTAAGATGCTCTCTACAAGAAAGAGGTTTCACAAAAATACAAAGTGAAATAAACTAAAAATGTTTGGGCCTCTTCTTTCAATACAGTCTCCCTGTGCAATTTCTGAGCAGGTATGAAGTAATATGGAAACTAACTCTCTCAAAAGACTCTTCCATTCGCTAGTGGTTTTGCTGCTTAACCAGGTTAAATCACTCCCGAGACCAGCTTCTGGCAGTTCTCTGCAGCTGTAGTGAGAGCAGAGGGGAAACGGAAACAGGGCAAGTGTGAAATATCCCTTTTCTCCAGCAATTCCTTCCAGCTCTTGGAATTATGTGCATACCAATGTGCTGAATGGCAGCTCATGGGCACCACCTCCCTCTGCATCCGTAGCTTCAGCAATAGTAAGAAGCCATGAATTGCCCAGTTTAATTAAACACTGCAGGAAAAGGTATTTTAGTTAATTTTTTAGTTTTGTACCTAAGAAATTGGGTGCCACTAGTTCTCTGGGATTGTGAGAAACTCTCAACAACCATTCAGTTTTTCTGAATGAGCCATTCAGTATTTCCAAAGTTTGCCTGTCTTGTGTAAGAGCATTTCATGATAACATCATTGCATTGCACAGATATTTTGAAGGTTCTTCTCACCTTGCAATGTTTATTTATTAAAAATGTAATATACCAAGTATGTACGTTTTAGTTGTGTCTTTGCATATGTACCTTCTCCAAGGGTTTTCCAGTGAAAAGTAGTATTCTGAAGAATATTGTTAGCTCAAGACTGAAGTAAACAGGGATCAAGAATGTCAGTTTTAACAACATGTAAGCAGTCCCTGAAGTGCTGGAGCAAAGGTTTATTTGCAGTTAAATAATTTAGAAATAGGAGATGTTGCATTCAGTTCACAGGGAAGAATACAGAGCCGAAGGCCACAGTTCTTTTTCAGGGCGGTTATCCAGATTTTAATTGTTCAGTTTTAAAGTGATTTCAAAGGAATTATTTCCTGCAGTAGTGTTCCCCTTGCCTTGACAGAATGTGATTTGATTTTTATTCTTATTATATTATTATTCTTATTATATATCCTACAGGAGAGCTAATAAATCCATTTATAACACTGTAAAATGTTATAAAACTCTCAAAACCAGTGTGTATGTGAGTTGAGCAGGCTGGTTTTTTTCCCCGTTTGCAGAATGTGCCCACGATTGGGGTCACGGCAGTGGTTCTGGCCACGCACCTGTGCGACGAAGTGAGCTTAGCAGGCTTCGGCTACGCCCTGGACCAGCCCAGCGCCCCTCTGCACTACTACAACAACCTCTGCATGGCCGCCATGAACTGGCAGACGATGCACAACGTGACGGGCGAGACCAGATTCCTCCAGAGACTGATCAAAGAAAAGGTCGTCCAAGACCTCACGGGCGGGATCCATTGTGAGTTCTGCACCAAAGACAGCTAGGCTGGCCAGCGAGCCTCTGCTTTGGACTTGTCAACTTCCCAGAGGTTCCTTTGGAACAACCCCTTTACTGTCCTCAGTGATTTGCTAAAGGGTGTACAAAATGGACTGGAATCTCTCCCGTCTTTTTTTCCTTTTTTTTTTTTTTCTTTTTTTCTTTTTTACGTCAGGTTTAATTTGTTGAACTTTTTAAATTAATTTCGATACTGCATTTTACTTTGCACATTTTTTTGTGGATAGCTGTGTAAATATGACTTTGATTGAAGAGGTCCATTTAAATATGTAACGTTTGTAATGTTTTAAGTTGCCCGTGGAAAAGCGGAGTTTTTGTTTTCAGGTGTATATGGTGCGCACAAATGCTAAACCCGAGTTGTCTAAAAGCATAAGAGATTATTATTGGGTTTTTTTTTCCATTGAACTACTGTCTTTGTGGATCTGGTTTTTGGTGTATGACTGCTTTTCGTGCCTGACATGAAAAGAATGACATACACGTCAAAAATCTTTTGTTGTGACTTGACTGTTGTGTTTTCCCCTCAAATATTTATATTCTTTTGCTATTGTGCTCATATTTCTTGGGAGTGGAGGAGGAATGTGGGAGTGGAGGTGAAGGAAAAGGAACTATTGTGGCAACAATTGAATAGTAAGTAAGTAAGCCTATGTGCGTGGCATTAAAATCAATGATGTCTTAATGCATTGGGTTTAGAATCCTGCTTTATCATGAGGCATATTTGGGCCCCAGGGTACATTGTAAGAGTATTTGGAGGCTTTTACCTGAACCAAATCTCTTGATATTTCCATTCCTTCAGACGCAGATATGTGTTTGCAGCAGAATTCAACCACCCCATTAAAGAAATGGCATTAATGTGAAATCTGGCCCTTTTTTTACAGTGACTTGAGAATTAGTGCTAGGGACCTATCTGTTCTTCGTGAGTTCCAGAAAACACCTTTTTATATAAATCTTACATACAGCAATAATACAATCTGTAACTAAGATGAAATTTCCATTGTCTTATTCCTCTTTTGTAATTAATCACAAATACTGTAACCTTAGTTTGATTGATGATAATCCTTATGATCTCTAGTGTTGATTTGGAGTCAGGAGCAGATGTGTTTGTTTTCCTGAGTCAGCTTTTAAGTCAGCAGCTGGGTGAGCACATAGAAGTTAAGAAGAAAATCACTTTGAGGAGGTTATATCATACACTAGCAAGGTAGGTGATTGCTGAAAGCAACATATATAAATATATATATTTATCTTGTCTAAATACATGTTCTTGTGACTGGAAGTTGAGCTGCAGAGAAACTGGACTGTGCAGACCAGTGTCCAGATTTGGATGTTTGTTTTCATTTTGTTTCTAGTAGGGTAATAGATGTGACTATTTGCACTGAGTAGCTTGGTTACTCAATCTGCAATCCCCAATTCCTTCTTGGGGAATGAAAGCTTGAGGCTAAACTGGTCAGAGGTTGGCAGAAAAATATATTGTTCATAGTCACAGACTCACCAGGTGCTGAAATTTCCCTTTTTCTTTAATATTTATTTTTTGTTGGCTAAGATGCACAGTATAGAGTTAAGTTCTTTAAAAAAAAAATGCCAGGAGACAGGATTGTGATTTTTTTGTTTTGTGTTTTTTGTTTCCATGGAGAGAAGACCTAAGAAATGATAACATGGCAACGTGTGAGCAGTAGAAGGGATGTGGTGGTTATACAGAAAGACAATAAAATGCCAGCAGATCAAAAAGCAGAATTCTGAAGGAAGCTGCAGACCTTCTATTTAAAAGTCCCATGAACCCACACTTTTTTGAAAGCCACTTATGAATCATAAGCCAATTTGAAAATCAGATTCTAGTCTCTGGCACTGGTTGTGTTTATAGCAATAATATTAATCTAAGTTCTCCTTGAAATACATTAATTTTTGTACTAGCAATAAATTTCTACTCCATGTTTTTGTGCAGGCGCGACAATTATATTTCATTTAGAAATATTTCATGTGTGAAGAGTTTTATACAGATAGCCTTTTAGTTTAATATATTAAAACATGCTGATTATTTTTTCCTGGTATGTAAACTGGATGGAAAGGACCTTAATTTAATTTGATACTGGTGGAATTTCCAAAAGGCTGGAAGAATTCCCAGTGTGTGTGTTGGGAGGAAATGCACCCAGGGCACGTGTGTCACAGCATCTCATCCCTCACCAGAACTTTTTGCTTTACTCCAACTTATAAATCGTTGATTGATGTAAATGCCAGTAGCTTTTTGGCGGTGTTGTATTTATTGTCAAATTCTCAAGTTATGTTGATGGGGGGTTAGATTCTTGTTGCATTCCCGCCAGTTTTATGGCTTGTGATCAAACCTTGTTCTCCGTGGTAGCATCTACTGCTTAGGAAACTCCTGCGCAGACTCCAGCATCTGTGAATGGCGTCAACGCTCGGGTTGCAAACAGCAATAAACGGATGAAACCACTTTGTACTTTCACATTTGTCTGAGACTTTGCAATTTCTTCTGCCTTTATTATTAAGGAAGTTGTGTGTTTCATTTGTCCAGTTTGAACGGTTTTGCTAGATTTGCATAATTCGGTGTGGTAAAACAATTACGCTGCATATCAGAATTCCTCTCTGCATAGGAGGCATCACCAATATGTGTCTGTCTGGCTTTTACTGTTGATTTTTTTGTTGTTCGTTTGGTTTTATTTTTTTTAATATCATGGTTAAAATGTGTGGGACTTTTTCTTTTTTTTTGTTTGTTTGTTTTTCTCACATACCTTTAACTCTTCCCCTTGAATTTTGAGATCATTTTAAAGGTTTATATTATATGTCAGGCTTTGGTGTTCAAGGTGATGCAAATGAAATTCTCTGTTAGGACTGAAGATTTTTTTTTTTTTAATTTTATTTTTTAAAGACTTATGTAGTATGTGAAGCTTTCTCCATTTTTTCAGGTTTGGAGGATTATTTAGACAATGATGAAAGAGAAGACTAGCTTGCTTGCTTTGGCTAGGTCCGATCCAAACCAGCATTGGGAGCTTCGAAGGCTGGGTGTGAACTTGAGGTGTCGTCTTTCAGCTGTGCTAATTAGGAGTCCTGCACCCAGCCTGTGGAGACGAATGAATGTCACCTTGGAAGAGCACCCGGTAAGTGACGTGCAGCTCATTCCAGTGCCATGACCCTGTGCCAAGAGTTTCATGGAGGGGCAAAGAAGACGCTCGTGTACCATGAGTTTGCTGCCTTGCGCCTGTTACCAAGGGCACGTGAGGCAATTGCTTCCTCCTGCCTCTTTTAAGGCTCTAGCACCAATGTGCTCGTGACCAATTTCCTGCAACCTGCCAACAGCAACGGTTTATGCAAATACTTGAGGTTTTACTGATAGGAGTTACCAATAGCCGGGGCTTGACCTCTGAATCCCTTTGTTTTCTGCCCCCTGGAAAGACTCTATCCTACAATCAAGTGAACTCAAAATGCTGGTGTGTCACGTAGCTCTTCAATAAACACAGGATATGCATATGCAGAACCAGTGCCTGTTACTGTGATCTGAAGTGGGAGCTCCTTGTTTCCTGGGACAGCCTGCCCATGCTTAACATGAAAAAATTCTTCTGACATGAAAAGCCCATCATAGTCCTGGCTGTTGGAGCTAAAAGAGCTGTCCAGTTCAGCAAAACTGGAGAATATGGTGCTATTTAAAAGACAAATGAGAGGAAACTAAGCACTGTTGAAATCAAAGAAGTCACTATCTGAAGTAATGATTAGATCCAAATACAACTGAAAGGAGAGGTATGTGAAGAGGGATATCTAAGCCCCCTTTCTGCTCTTCAGCCGCTTTAGTCTGGAAATGTGGAAGGTTCTGAAGCATCACAGGTCTTGACCCGAGTGCTCTCAAGGCACCTAGGTGTGATGTTTGTAGGTATGTGTAGTTAGTCCCAGTTGCAACAGGCTTGAGCTCTCTATCACCAGCCTTGCCCCATGTCTCATCACACAATTGCAGAATGGCTGAGGTTGGAAGGGACTGCTAGAGATCATCTAGTGCAAGCCCGCCCTGCTCCAGCAGGGACACCCAGAGCACGGGGCACAGGGCGGCATCCAGGTGAGTTTGGAGACCTCCAGAGAAGGAGACTCCACAACCTCCCTGGGCAGCCAGTTCCAGGGCCCTGTCACCCTAAACAAAACGTGACACTGTGTAGGATATATATTTTTAACGTGTTTTTACCCAACCGTGGGGATCACTGATGGAGCAAAGTGCAAAACTTGTGCTGTCATCACCAACCTGAAACCACTCTGAGACTCCTGGAAAGTGCTTTTCTTAGGGCTGTTCTCAGCTGTCTGCAGAGTCCTATGTTCTCTGGCTCCCGTTTCTGGGAAGCGTCAGTGACAGGTCACAACTCTGCTGGTCCATGAATGACCCAAAAGGCCTCTTCATGCCACCTTGTGGGAATTGCTTTAAACTCTAGCGTTATTTCTTGCACTTTGCTATATAAAACAAATTACACTGATGTGATAAAAGCATCAAAACTATTTTTTAAAGCATTAGGATGCCTTCCTTCAGGCAAGAGCGTGGATCTTCTGGTGAGAACACTGTAGGTATTATGCATCAAGCTGGAGTTCAGACTCGGGTTACGTGTAACTGTCAGGATCACATCACCATTGGTGACAGATGTGAGGCTTCACTCCCTCCTTAACCTCTTTCAGCTTTTGTAGTTTACACTGACAGGCGGTGTAAGACAAGGCGGTGGCTGTGACTGAGTTTTCACCCTAGAAATCAGAGCTAGTTTCTTCACATACCTGCCTGTGCCAGTCGGTTTACCTTCCTGTCCAAGCACTTCTGAATCATCCTTTCAGTTGAATCAAAATTCCCGTGATTGTACATTCGTGTTTCTCATACTCGTGACAGTTGCCTTTGCAATTAGAGCAGCTAATCAGGCTTAGAAGCAAAGGCAGAATTAAACACCCAACATTTACCTCTCTATAGTGTCAGCTGCCTGGTCTTTCATTTTTGCTGCCTGCCTATCTTGTGCTCAGGCCAAAACCAACTTGTTGCTGAACTCCAGTGTAAGTTTTCTTTGTGAGAACAAAGCATTTCTGTCCAGCGCAGCTGCTCCTACGCCCTTCTCGTGGTTCCCCTCTCCAACGGCACCGAATTGTAGGTTAGAAGGGAGACATT